AACACCTCTACTTCACGAGCGATCAGTGAAAGCCAGATGGAAAGATCGCTGAGAGTAAGCAAAAAATATTTATGCTTTAAAAATGTATGCTTTTCATTTGACGCATTACCATACGAATTTCACGATATAAACACAATTCGTTGTTTTCCATGACTCTTCCCGCAACCATAGTACTATCGATAGGCTTCCCACAGAAACACACACACATATATATATATATAGGCGTTGTCTAAGCGCTTCGACAAAGCTCGATGCTGTAACATGGTGCGCCGACAGAGCTCTACATTAACAAACGAACTAATGAATGTAAATAAAGACAGTAAATGTGTTCGGTCAAAAACGGTTGCCCCCCAAAAAGCTAATTAAAAAAACATTCAGTTACGAACGAGTAACTTATACAAAGCTTATAATATATAAAAAAAACAATAATTTCCTGGGGTAGTGTTCGACATAATATCCCGCTGTAGATTTGCTGATGTAGAATAAAGAATCTTTGGTTTGAGGTCCGGTATAAAACAGTTACTGAACAACTCATGTGATAAAAAAACAGCACATAATTATGTATGGTATTCCATGGTGTAAATAGTACTATGCATGCGAGCCAAAAAGTAGGCGAACTCTTCATAAGGTTGACAATAGTAATGCCAAAGTTTATTATCGTGTCCTACTAGAACAGGGTATGCTTAAAAGTTTTTAAGCTAATTAACTAAGCTCATCTAACCAGTAGCATCGGAATCCTTTAATAGGCCCAAGTGCACAAGGTTCGACTCTAGCGAGAGTCAACACTAGCCGACTGACCGTATATACAAAACGAGCAACTATTTAGTTATTCCAATCGTTGACGGTCAATCTAGCCAATTGCCCATAGCTCATGCCCCATTCCATAGGTTTTTGTTTACTGGCACTGGTGCGCTACTGCCATTGTCGCGCCACAGAGACAATGCCGTTCAAGCCAAATCCTCCATACAACCACTCAATGTTGTCATCGTAGATGCTGCGATTGCCGTTATTACGCTCCGTGTTGATAGCTAATGCTGGTATCTTTGCAGTAATAATCGCCAGCTTTTGAGTTGTCATCCCCTGAGTTTTTCTAACAAATAGGGAAACAAAAAAAGAAGACACGCACGCACTCAGCCGTAGTAGATCAAGCCACCACTTGAGAACGATTTGCGTGAATATTTAATTAACTTTCAAGTGGGTGGCGGGCTTTGACGAACCTCGTCTGCTTGAGTGGCATTTTGAGGCAGGTGCTGATGGTTCACTGGGATGGAATTTTGAATTCATCTTTTAAGCAAATCTTCGGAACCACCTGTTAAGGACTCGCTTCCATGAGGAGTCTAATCAGAGTGGTATTTATTTAGCGATTCTCCAACAGATCCATCAGATCGGTATAGTAACTGTTGAAGCTCACAAAAAATAATAGCTTTTTCTTTTTTTCATATTTTTCTATTGTCCCTAATTCCCTGTTTTTCCTTGATTCATTATTTTCCGGTTTATTAATCTCTAATACACACTTTTTTTTAATTGTGAGGCTTAAACCAGCGTAGAAACACATGTCTTAGTTATAATTCCCATGGTAAGGCGCGTAAGTCACACTATTCTCAGTTGAAAGGAGGTGCACGAAAGTATTGACACGTAAAGTTAATGTCCATCAATAAGAATAAATGTACTAGCATTTATAAAAGCTCGGCAGGGTATTTTCTTGTGAATGACTCCGCAGTACTTGAAGGAAAAAGTGTGTTTTTTGCCCCTAGTTTATTGAAGTGGATATTTAGGAACTATGGACTTGTGCTTACTTAGAATTGCTTTTGCCCATGATGTTGATACTTTATAATCTCGTCCTTCCTATGATCGACAAAATTTGGTTAACATCACTTATACTAGCAGACTCCTAACTTTCTAGTGAAATTCAGCTAACAACAAATCTATCTTCTCATGTTGTTTGAATAGTAATAATTTATATGGGTCGATCAGAAAGTGTGTGACAGTTATCAATCTTTGCCCCTTGCCCGTTTTATTTAGTCCTTTAACTTCAAACGTGCGTCCTTCTTTCGACTAATAAGTAACTAATGCTTCAAATTTTACCTTCAGTGCTACTGTGCTAGTTAGGCACTGCTTCGCACGACTGGCTTTTTCCCTTACGACATGATGTACCTATGCGTGACTTCAAACCTGAACTATCCCTCGCTAAGTGTCCTTAAATTTATTAAGGTAGCACGATATCATTGCACCACCGAGGCCTCTTTCTAACCTGTTCCGTGATAATACTGCGGTCTATTTTTTGCACCACCTTAATTGCAGTAGCTTTCTCCGAACAGCCGCATATATAACACTGGTATCTTACTATGTTATGCCGCCGTCTATACGGCTATCGTGGCCGCCAGCGTATATACGGCTGACACAACTAGCTCATAGAAAGCGGGACCTGAGCGCGTTTGTGAAGAGAATGATTTTGGCTTCTGGAATATGAACTTTGTTTTACATAGAGTATATGAATGATACAGTTAACGTACGACGACAGCTGGATTTACTACACACTGAAATTCGAATTCTTCTCTCAAGCTTCACTTTCAGTCGATTCAGATCTTCATTTAGCAGAACTACAGACTTATACAAAAAGGCGGCTAATGATACCGGACCATCAGACCGGGGTCATTCCGGTCAGGTCGCCCACGTTTCCAGACGAGCTAGTCGCTGGCAGAAGGATGTCCCCTCCGTGCGTCCTCTGAGCTTGACAAAGCATCGTGTTCCATGTTACTCAGCAGCAACTTCCTAGGCCGTCTGTTCTTCGTTAACATCTCTCGTTCTCCAACATTCTCGCTGACCAGAGATCACGCTCTAAACGGTTGTGACAAGATAACAACGAAACGTGAAAGTTTGACTGGGTCACCTTAAGTGTTCTTAGCCCAGATAGGAGTGGCTTGCAATACCTTCAAATTTTACGGGTCACGTCCGTACACTAGGCAATATAACGCAAGCACAGGGTAATCAGCGAAAAATCTACCTTGATTTTTAGCATTTCATTGCTCGTATAATAGAGAAGAAGCTGCTTCTGCAGAAGATCGGTACAGGGAAAAGAAAGGACCTCTGTGAACAATTTTTGGGGAAGGAAGAGTTACTTAAGGTATAAGATTTTGTAGAACCTAAAGGGATTCTAGGCCAATGACGTTATACAGGCCTTAGAGAGACGAGAACCACTGTAAAGGAGTGTTGTCTTACGACAGCATTTGATCTCGTAAGGCTTTAATGATTTGGAGAGTTCTGACAAAGACTCTGAAGCAAAGTTACCTTAAGTCCGGCTTATAGCCCAAACGTTATTCTATCAAGTTGGCTGATTGAGCCGTAAGACTTGTTTCTGTCCTTAGCCCACACGAACGAAACTAAGTCAACTTTTTTAGTAAGCAAAACTGGTTTCTTTTAAAAGTAGAATAAATTCACTGAAACTTTTCATCTTGAGAATCTAACACGAATATAAATTTTTGAAATACAATATGTAGGATTGTGGGAAACTAGAAACTAAATACGCCAGAGGACGATTCGCGGTATACTTTTTCGTCTCCTTTTTGTATGACATACGCTTCGAAAATCTCTACATCTTGAAAATCCGGGGTGAAAAAAATCCTCAAGTATTGAAACACGGGCAAGTTTATAAAGCCTACGTCATAAGTTGCAATAAACCAATAAATTTCCTGTAGCTACCCGTTCCCGTCGGTAGTGTTGTTATGTTCTTTAGACTTATTTTTGTAAATGGCTATATTATCTCCAAATGCCTGAATAGGCGTATTGTTTGTAATTCCTCATTTTCAGAAGTAACCCAGTGCCGATAGCGCAAATAAAGCAATCTATTTATTGTCATAAAAACAGAGGAATTACGTCATGCTTATGCTGCTGGTCTAAAACACCTATATGTTTGTATACTAGATAATATATATATAAAAAAAAAAACTCAACAATAATTTTCAGTGGTTGATCAGACCAAAGCTGTTCGAGCCCGATCTTTACATGGTGATGTAAAAATAGCGAGATGGCGTATTGTATATGTACATCTTTGAGATAAGAGTATTTATGTCCTTCGAATTCATCCTAACTAAATGGACTAGTCTATTAGACCGCGTTACCATTTCTATTACGTTTCTGTAAAGCTGCGTTCATTAGTTCTGCGAAGTGATTCACATCGTGTAGTGACCATAAACCTCTGGTGTCTTATGTTGGTGTTTGTTACCCTCTTGACCGCTCTATTACGATGAGACTCTGCATAAACCTTGTCCGTCACGATAATTTCGTACAAGTTTTGCTGCCGATGAAATCTTTTCCGCCTTCCGCTGTGATTATCTAATAGGTATGAATTCGCCTGTTACATTTTATCAATAAATACGATCGATGTCGCACGAGCAGAAGACGAGCACGACCTGTGTTTCTTTACTTACGCCTCGAATACGCATCTCGCTATCAAAATGGCAAGACTTCCCTCTGCTAGCAACTCTGAACAGCGGTTCAGATGGTTGAGGTCGTCTAATGCTGAGGAGCACCTCAGGGGAGCCTTAGACTTATTGTCTCTTTTTCGACTTCTCTTTTATCTACCGGCCGAGAAAATTCCCAACAGACTCTATTTAAAAACTGACATTCTCTTTTTCCACTTAATGGATTTGTTGTTTGGTTGATCGATCGAGATTCATTCATTATTTTTAGTATTATATTGAAACCACCGACCGCTGTGCTAGGCCATATTAATTTGAAAAAGCCGTCCTTGAGGTCGACTGCCACCGGAACCAATATAGTGGCACACGTTCAGCAGATTATCGATTGGCCTCAAGGCGTTCTTCTTCCTTACTTCCCTATTCACCCCACTGGCAGAACAAATAGAATGATTGTATGGCATAGTACTTATGGTATACATGCGCTTTTTCTATTTATTTTCTCCATATTACAGGTCTCCACAACAGATGATATTAAAAGGCGCTTCGTTTTCGCGCACCTAGCATACTGGGACACCTAGCAGGAAATGGTTAAGGGACAAAGATCGAACACTTCAAATGTCCAAACAGAGTTACAAGACTCGAACGACGCAGTTACTAGTAGTGAAATATTGTCTGATCGTGTAATGAACTCGAAACTATCTAGAGAAGAGTCAATAGGAAAGAGAAAAGGACTTAGAATAGAACTTCGATGGGATAATTAATTTTTTGCCATTTGCAAACATTAGAAGTTAGTCACTGTAGGTACAAGCGGCAGTGCTGCGGAAGCGACCAAAGCCCAGACCTGGGAAACAAGCCGCGCGGAGCAAGATCATCATCAGGATGAAATAGCTATCATAAGTGAATGTCGGCAAAAATAGAAATAAAAACAATACCCAGTTCCAGTGGCAGTTCTTTCGAAAGCCAAGTGAAAATTAGTACGAAGCTACCTGCCAATTGTGCACACGGGAATCGCAGTGGTCGGCTTGTGGGAACTTCGGCCTGTTAGGTGCGACCAACGAAAGCATCATCAAAATGCTACGAGAGACAATCTGGCACCATGGCCTACCCCACGAAAATAGAACCTCTTCAGTGCACTAATGCATTTCGATACGAATGACCGCCTTCGTGTATAGAGCCAGTGTTGGAAGCCATGTTTACGGTACTCTTTGTTGGTTTAGAGGTATTCGGAGTCATCGTCGATGAAGGCTAATACTGTGTATAAAGTGTTACCTCCCGCCGGAATGAACGTGCTTCATGGGCTTCTATAGGATAAGACGGAGTTGGTGGGGAACTCAGTGAAGTTTGAGTGTAAGCTTTATAATATCAAAATTTTTCTCTATTGGATCTCTAATTGGCTCTAATTGGAACGGTTATTCCGATAGCATCGCCCAAATATTCTATTAGACAATTTCAAAAGTCAATATAACACAGGAGAGACGTCGGTCGTCTCTCTTAGTCATCTACGCTTACTGTATTGTTCTTACAAGATAGCGTACAATGGGGTGCTGCGGGTCCACAGAATCAGCTTCAATTAGGACGCTGTGTAATAGCTCTATTTGCATCGTTTCAGGTCTAATTAAAGTCAAATATATAGTTTTATTCTCCTATTGATATTAACCCTGATCAAGCAAACTACGTTCAGAAACGTAGGTAAGAAAAGACGCTCGACGATCTCATAATTCATTCGTAGTAGGTCATCGGTTAAATCTAAATTGTATTATATGGAATACATTACAGAGTAATGCTGCCGACCTCTACCTTACATCTTTGTTTTATTGTTTGGCAGCCCTATCAGCCGTCAGGTGTTGCATATATATATATATATATGCAACTTAAGTTATAAGTTTTCATATACATTGCAATCATGCCAAGATCAAACTGACCTTTATAATTCCCGCCTATCACTTTTTTGTCTTCAATACAGGTTATCTTCATACAAAAAGTTTTGCGGGAGCTAAATTGAAATTGCAAATCCGCCAGTAACCGTATGTACGCTAAATGGGCCTTAATGTTTTGAGCTCTCCGCTTGCAACTGCCTTCGGTTCTGCCCCTTTTCCAGCACAAAAACGCGTGTCTTCGCTCTATGTCAAATTCAGGCCGCATCATTTTGTATATAGTAATGGGACACGTCACTAACTACTATCACGACCACAACCGCTTCAAGATGATGTACAGCGTTAATGGGAGAGCAAGTTACCAATGCATTGCCAGTGGGTCAATCTGCATAGAACTTGACGAACCCTAACTTACCTAAAAAAATAACCTCTTAGAAAGATTGTGTAAGTATTTGGCTAAGCTTTCAATAGAGCTATACATTATGCAAGTTTCGATAAAGTTAATATCGATTCAAAGTTTGCTTTCTCATTGAAGTCGTTTCTCGATGATTCCTTTTAATGATCTGTGGTAAATTTGTTCGTCAGCTGCGCAATGGTAGGGCAAAGGCTTCTACTGTATCTGCCGTTAATTGATGTAGCATGAAATGTTCTCGGTGGAGTTTAACGTCACGCAACGGTTCCCCGCTAATCGTTACCTGTCGACATCTGTCCCTAAGATGGGCCGATCATTGGAACCTCGAGACATTCGTTAGGTGAGTGATTACTTTTCGATTTGGTAATCGTTCTCCCGTGTTGAACTCACTGAAGTTTCAGCTAGCAAAGGTATGTAAGCCTGCGCAGCATGCTATAATACGAATGGTAAATTTCGTAAATCGCTGTCCATCATCCGGCAAGAGCATCGCTCGACCATGTAACAGCGGATAGCGACACATTTTATGAAGAAATTAGGCAACCATTACAGATAAGGTACCTTTCTCTTTCTGTCCGTTACCGCCTTTATTAGAGAGAGGCTGGAACACTCAGTGGCCTAGAGGCTTAATCATACCTACGCCATTCTCTGCAATATTTCACCTTCTCCAATCATACTTATTTTCTTCGTAAATCTGAGGAACACTGCTAGTGCCCACGATGGATGGCGAAATCAGACTCTGAATGTAAGAGTGGTTTTAGATACCCTCCATAGCTGACACCAGCCAAGCCACGCCACTATCGATGCTCCTTCATTAACATAGATTCCTGTTACATCTTTGCCCCTCCGTGGTTAGAATTGCCCCGTTGTCTATGCTAATAAGAAAAATATTAGACAATATACCTTCGCTGCTATTGAATAAAATCGTTTCTCTTTATTGCATACGGGAAGGGGGTTACCCAGTGCAAAATACCTTCCCGGCAGAAGGGTTACTGCTGCAAGTACTCCTGAAGGGCGTCGCCTGCTCCTCCTAATGTGATCGGATGCACCTGAAAAGGGAGGCGTGATTGATCACATCATCAGAGTCGCGATCTGAGCAGTCTCGAAGGGAGAGACCGGGAAGGAGTCAGGGGCTGTGATAGTGGGTTAATATATGGAGATGGAGTGTGAGGTACAAAGAATGGAAAATGGTGCCAGTAAAAAAGAAACACAAACGAGAAGCTGCTAGAGTTTTTGCGGATATGTAATTGACGCAAATGTCGTTGCGATACCGATGAGTTTGACTGTGTCTGCAAGAGCTAGATAGATGAGGAAAAACCAAGCGTAAGAACACCTAGTGAGCTATGAATCTAGATTTCGAACAAGATATAATCACGTAGTTAAACAGTAGCACTAGAAAGAGCCGTCAGCCGTCTGGGATAGGTAAGCTAATAATCCCAACGTATTTGCCTAGATAGCGGAACATAGAACGGAGCGAGTTTAACGTTAGTCTTCATGGCCGACATTGTAAAGACTATTGTCTAACTATTAGAGTAGCATGTTTATATTTGCTATCACTGCTCTCTTACCATACGTAGCGTTTTGTCAAATACAATGAGCTACTTAGGTGTTTTATTGCGTGGAGCATTGACTTCTTGATTGGTGTCGGTCCGCATCGTAAACACACAGTGCACAGGCAGTAGTAAAGGTGCTCACTGTTGTCTATTAGGTCTTCAATAATTTTTATATTACCACCTGAAGCGACTTACTACTTAAGACATAGGACACGTAACCAACGTAATAGCACATTCGTATCTGCATCCTTTTCATGGAACAATGGAATCCGCGTATTTGCTGATATTTCGAAAAGGTATACCTTTCAGTATGTCTAGAGTATCACTTGGTTTATTCCCTCGATGTCTCCAGGTTCTCTCTTATAAAGAACCTTGTCAAATGGAGATGTAAAGGCCCTACAGATAGATTTGGAAAAAAACTCGGTCTACATGTAAAAACTGAAGGCACTAGGCTGCCTTATAAACATACAGATGTGAGTGGTGAGTCTCGCACAGGTTAATAGAACTTGTTTTTGTTCCTGTGATTACGTAAATTATCATTTTTTGTTATAATGCAATGACGACGCGTTTATCTTATAAACTGAAGATCGGTCCAGGCTTGAAGCTGAATGTACACACACGGTTTTTCGCTAGAGGCCAGCCATATGAAGCACTGCTTGATAGTAGTACCGGACGTAAAACTGGTAGCACTTATATCAAAAAAGCCGTACAAAAAATTAATGTATCAAGAAAAGGGCTGTAAGAAAATCCTGGGAGAAAGGTATTTACATTTAACTAAGATAGCAAACCCGAACTTTTGTACGGTCTATTCCGCCTCAAACATAAGGGTTAATAATAGTATATTTTAGCAGTTTAGTCCACTTGAACACAACAACGCTTCGGAAAAAGTACTTCAGAGCGAGTTAAGGACGACTTTTTGTTCACTTCGAATAAAATGAACTGTATTAGTTCTGAGCACCTCTGATGAAAACGAATCCACACATGCTGTAGACGAGCTCACGTTCATTCGCGATTTTGATACAGAGGACGACATCTTTTAACTCTCGTCCGTCAAAGATTCGTCTCATGTCATTAACACGTGCAAAAAACGTTCTCTGGTTTGAATAAAAAAGTGTGAAATTGACCTTCGTTTATTCTATCAACAAAGAAGCCCGCTTTTGCATGGAGTCTATTATATCTGATTGTTATCAGAAATTCACCAGCTGGTGAATAACGGAAATTTATAAACTCACTTTTTATTTATTTTTTTATTTACTTTAAATAAAGTTTACTAAAGAATAATGACATGAACCGTAGAAGTATTACAATCCAAAATGAGCTGTCCTACTAACTAATGCAACGAGAAACTTCGCTACAGATATATTACACGCAGTAGTTTACGTATCTGCTAATAAACAATATGACATGTTTTCAGATCTACGTTGATCTCCTAGAGACGTTTTGGGGGGAGGCAAGAAATCCTTTTTAGCCCCACATGTCAATAGCTCCGAGGTGTCCCGCAAGATGTATGTACTTCGTCGCTAGCGTCGAAGCCGCCATTTTTCTTTACAGTTGAACTATTAATGTTATTCTTGAGGTGTTCAAAATGAAATTTACAACCTGAGTTTTCACACACAGAAAGCCTTCATAGTCAGGCAGGGAGCGGACACTACACGCAGGTTGGAGGTGAACGAATAGCGGCCAGCGACTAGTGCAGCGGCGAACTGCGAAAGTATCGTTAATACCGTCGTAGATGGTCGTAGGCATCTCGGGAATTCGTGAAGTCGCTGTAGACCAGCGCTTCACCTCAGCTCTCTTGGATTCTCTCCATAGCCCATCATAGACATAGCGCGACAAGAAGCAGCTGGGAAGCAGCGGTCCTGGACGCAGCAATTTTACGCATTTTACGAGCCGCGACGGCGAAGTCAACACGACCTGTTCTGTCCCGGTCGTCCGAGGACCTGGTGCTCTGGCTGGTGTTCACGATGTCGTCATTATTGGTGTCCTGTCGTCTGTCTATTGCTGTTTCTTACACTTGGCTGGGCAGGTAAGCCAAAATGGAATGGTACAATGCCAAAGTTCCATGATGACGACGATGATTCTCCCGCTGGCGGTGAGTCGACTCATTTGTGCTCCGGCGACGAGGCCATACGGACTCTAGGGCATACGTTTTTAACGACCTGCGTCAAGCGAGTGGCGCGATAGCCCGACTCCGTCAGTGGAGTAGCTCATTGCTGGGTGATGCTCTGATGCAAACTCATTCTTACAGACGCAGAGATTCAGATCCAAATCCCCCACCAAAACAGCTACTACCAGCAACTGCAAAAAAAAGCACCTGACAAAAGAATGGTACCGAACTTGCGACGAGTATCCGCGCGGAAAAAGAATAACAAACACGATAAAAACTCGTAAACGACGTCACTTAGGCGAACCAGTCCCAGGCTAGAACACCTACAGCCCGATGAGAAGACAGGCTCAAGGAAGAGTTCAAGCTGTTCCGCGATGGGAGCCATGACGTCAAGCTTCACTGGGGTGGTGGGTTTCCGAGGACGCAGATCGATCAGAAAAAGGAAGCAGAGTAACTGCTTTATTTTGGCATATTCCTAAAAGAAGCCAAGAAACTCAAGAAAGTAAAACGAGAAATGACATAGTGATAATACACCAAACTTTCGACTTGCAGTTTATAGGTTATGCCACCAGGCAACTTATAGGTTAGGGTTTGGTGACCTGCGAATGTGACCGGTTTACGGTGAGTGCCACCAAACGATCAACAATGAGAATTGTAACTGCACGCCCGATAAGCAGGTTGCATTTTCTATGCGAAAAAGTTAAGCTGGGTACAGGCGCTTACGAGAATATCTATGAAAAAACCATAACGGTGACAACAACAACACTCACAATTGACAATTGAAAATACCTGGAGTTCCGAACTGTGAACAAACCTCGGCAAATGTTCGACGATTATTTTACATACAGCCAACTTCAATAGATGCGGTCCACAATGGAAAGACAGAAGGCCAACAAATATAGGCCTACCGTTGCACTGCACTATTTTGCTATAAAATTAGTAAGTGCCCCCAAAGAAGATTTATTAAAGTCGACGACAGAGCCCGCGAATAGACAAACAGATAAGGCGATCTGTGAAATGCGCAAACGTTAATACATATTTGACTGCAGGTTCATACGCAGACTCAAGCAATGCGTGAATAAAATGCATAGAGCAGTCATACTTGAACCATTGACCGGTGGCCTTACACGCACAATTTTACGGGCCGCGGTGTGACACCGTCACGACCAAATGGGGTTCGCTTTACAGGTTGAAAGTCGCTAAACAGTCCGTGTTGGAGAGCACAACCTTAGTGTAATTTGATTTGAGAGTTGGCGTTTATGACATATTGAAAGAAGTGAAGGAAGGGTCAGGTGCAGCTGATACAGGAATTCATTTTTAATTAGAGGCCTGACCAGTAGATTCTCGCCTTTCACACCGTCACCAGATCCTGTTCAGACTGTCATTGTTATTAGCATTAATATGGACACCTAGTGTCTCTCACCACTTGATCCGTTTCGTATCGGGTAGAGCCACAGGGACACTACACTTACAGAGGGCAAGGCTCATGGGCCTAGTCAGATATTTTCCGATTACCATTTGTACAATGTATCATATGGTAGTCGATCATGCTACTTTGCTCAGTCTAGCCTAAACTGAATTCAAACCTATTTTAGAAATGTGCGTCGAATATTTAATAATTTTGATTGTGGGCTTATGGTCGCCCTATGACCTCGTGACATATATTTATGTTCAGTCTGCAGTTTTCCAATCAAAACTAACGGGGTATGCTGCTATCTATCTCTGACCTTTCACCCTTACAGTTATTCCGTTACCTTTTATGTGAACATTAAGCCGCTCAATACGAAAAAACTAACATCTTTAAGAAATATTCAACCGTCTCGTGGACCTAACCACATACGACCACACTCGATTCTAGAGTGTTGAAAATGAAAAGAGCAGATATTTCCTTAATCCCATCTTATGGTTTCTACATAGAATATACAATTTAACAACTCGACGACGACGAGATATTTCTAATAATTCCTTATTTATAATAAGAAAAATATCAGACGTTTTGCAAATACCTAATCAATGTTGAAAGACCAACCGGAAAAAAATTATAAATTTTCTTGCTTCAAAGCAGGGTCTCTTAAATTTTTTTTTTTCATTTTCTATTACAAGGTCATGATTTTTTTCCAATCGTATTACTCTTTCTTAATGTTCTCTAGTAAGCTTTCAGGTACACAAATAATCTAAATTACGTCCGTGTGATGATAAAGTAAGAACGTGTTTACCAGGTAAGCTGTACGCATGTAGAATGGCTTATAATTTAAAATGTGTCACAGATACACTTTGTTTCGAGCATGAGGCAGACCGCGTGAAGCAACGCTTGATCTCAGCAGGACGACATAAAACCCGAAATCCCTCACAGAGGATCATATCGTATTCTTATCTTAGAAAGAATAGACAGCTTTCGGAGCCAGCTAAATAGGTAACTTTTTGTTCTGATTTAAAACTCGATTTAATTTACAATAAAATTAAAACAATTAAATACAATTGGATTCATAGGTAATTGTTTTTGTTTTTTGTAAAACGTTTGTTTTAAAAGAGAAATCAAGTTTGATTGGTCTTTGTTTCGTAGTTGACCTTCAGGTGTCCGATTTTACGATACACTCCGGTCCTGCCACAGAGTTCTCAACGACCAATGGTGTATAGTCACTTATATTGGACACTCACACGCTCTATTTTTCCCTGTTTCGTTATTATATAACCAGTTTTTTTTTACATTTATTATATGTGGGTTAATGTGTTTAATTCATTGTAAGGTTTTGAGATTGCGCTTATTCGGTTAATGCACTTAAACCTTAATCATTGATATATATATATATATATAGGTTCTATTGCCTAAAGGTAATATATGGTCTTACCTATGATTTCATTCCGGGAAAGAGGTCGTACACAGAATAGAATGAATTTTTTTTTCTTTTTCAATGAATGAAGAACGCATTATTATAGGTGTCAATTTTTGCCAAAAATAAATCTGGAAATACGAAACCGTACCGAAAATTTATAAGGCTCATATTTTATCTTCTCGCTAGAGAGAGTAGTTTTAGTACCATTCTCATCTTAAATAGATCAAGAACAGCAACTCTAACTA